TATAGAAATAAGAATTAGAAGGATGAAACAATCTCTTTGCTTCTCGAGCTTCCGAATTTATGTTAAGAATTGGGGCAACGAGAGCACGATCAACAAGCGCTTGACCTCCAAGGGGATCTTATTTTTTGCCTGTAAGGGAAGAACATCAAGGTGAGACAAAGTAAAATTAAACAAAAAATAAAGTATAAATTCGATACTCACTATATTTACCATAATATTGAGCATGACAATCGACGAGTTAGGATCATTTGTCTGAAAACCTCAGTTGCTTCTAACAAAGAAGAAAGCTTCCAATTATGCACCATGTTAGAAGTAATTACAAAATTTGGGCAAGATTTAGAAGAACGAGTAGACAGAAAATAGAAGTCATTTTGCAAGTTCGCTTTATTATCCGCCTTTACGAGATAATAAATTGACCAAAAAATTTATGAAGAGAGTTCTTTCCCCAATCCCATAGAACCCCATATATGGAAGAACCCACATTATGAGCCAACCCATTTGGAGTAAGTAGAATGGGGCAATATTGAAATAGTCAAAAACTTGGCGGAAAAAGTGATGGAAAAGAACTCTAAGCCCCATATCCATTGAATATTTATGAATTGCTACACAATTACGAGGAGGACGGTCCACAGTCTGGAATTGTCCAAGGTACACCAACTCAATATCATCGTGAACGTTGAACTTATTCCTAATTTCATCCGATTCACCTTCAATAATATTAGAGAATATTTTCGAGGCTTCATACACAACATCCGCGTCACTCTCGCTAAGGTTATTAGGCTCATTTGAAGGTCCGCTGGACTCAACCCTATATTGTGAATCAATTCCTTGTCTAAAAGATTGTAGATTAACATAAGTATCGATGTGGGTAATTGTAGTCCGAGGCATAACACTAGTATATAACACTTCAATAGAAGAAGAAGGCGATTTTGCTTCGTCGTCCTAAATCTAGAGTTTGTGGCTTCAACACTATGAGACATTTTTTGAGAATTGCTTTGGGAAGACATTTTAAATGATAATATCTCAAAAATCTCTAAATAAAAATACCCAGATACAATAATAGATGAACAATGAAAAAAACACGGAATACATACGTAAGCAAGATTTTTGGGAAGGTTAGTAAGAAGGAACAAGAGAGAAAGTCGATGGAGAATGTCTTAGAAGTATGGAACACAACAATTGAAATAGACAAGTTGAAAATAAGGAAATTTGGGAAAGTAAAGAGAAGTGGCAAGGATAGGAATGTCATATTTATATATTCCGAAAAAAAAAACACGACAATGGATTGTGCATGTAACGATCTTAACCATTAAAGGGGGATAAGAAATTTTGATTGTCGAATACAAAGAGGTGCCCAATAAATATTTCAAATGAACGGGTGAGATCAAGCGTGCCCAACACACGGATTAACCAATTGTAGGTCACATGCCTAGAAACGCACAAAAGACCCCATCAACGCACACAAAAATTGCTACAATCGCAACATGTCCCGTCATCGTGCCACATGCCAGCCGCGTCAAGTAAAGAAGAATTCTCCTTAGACATTCTTTCTACTAAGACGACAAGTTCAGAGTTAAGTATAAAAAATAATTTCATTCAAAATTAGTTAAGATGAATAAAAAGGCCCAACTATGACAGTAATAAGTTAAAAGAAAATAAATTTTTTTTTTTTTTGAAGATTATATAACTCGGGAAAGTCCTGGATCTAAACATAAATAATTAGACTCGGACAAAAAACTCGTTAAGGAGTATTAGCGATCTCGTAACCCTATTATGCGAACTATTTAAAGAAATAAATCATATGTGAATCTTAGGAAGTAGAAGCGAGCATTCATACGTGTAAGACCCCACAAATAGAAGTGGCGAACTGTTGTCATTAAACCATTTCACATTGGCAAAAATTGTTATCAAAGCACACGTGAATAGAAGTATAAAACATGACTTCGTAACCAATAAATGAAGGACGTGTAAGTAGGAAAATAGAATGTGAGCTGATAACAATAACGTTAGAAAGCAATCAATCAAATTAACTCGACTCGATTTGATTCTATCGATTTTAATTTTTGGCCTAGTCCTACCATCCCCGTCGACTTCAAATCATTGAACACTTCTCCCATTACCAAACTTCATTAAAAAAGAACAAAAATAAAATTTATAGTTGGAACCCCTAACCTATTAAAATATTCGAAAGTAGGTCCCAACCTAATTTGTTCAGGTACAAACCGAACCTAATATTTTGCTAGCCTCAATCGCCATCCTTCCATTTTTCTAATATTTGAATCCAATTGATGATTTTGCATATGTGTTTAATTAATAACTCAAAATCATTTTTTTTAAATAAATACAACTATACCTATTATATTTAAGGGAAATATTTCTATATAGTCATTTTTGTAGATAAAATGAAAATTGTCGTGCCTTTTTTTTTAATAAAAATGTCTTCTAGACAATTTAAGCGAAGTTGTCGAGAAAGACTAGAACGTTTAAATAAACTATAAACTCTGTCAATTTTTCCTTATCATAATTTTAATAGAAATTTAGTTTTTAATCGAGGCCAAAATTAAAGTAAACTGTCTATTAAGAACTCGTGTGCCATACAATTAAATGATTGAGGACTGCAGCTGCCAGAATAATAAGTTTAGGGCCTTTTTGCCACATTGCCGATAGTTTCGGTCCCAACAAAGTGTCTATCTACACGCGCACACATGCCAAATGTAAGAGCAAGTCAAGATCACACGAAAGACTAAGCCCTTTACAACAATTTTTACGAAATTATTTTTCTCTCAAAACTCATTTTCAATTGCACATTCTTACAATAAAATATTCTATATGTAAATCTAAATTTTTTTTTTTTACTTTTTAACCTCACATTCTCCAAAAAAACCACTATTCCAAAACTCATTTTCCCCATAAAAAACTCTTTAATGACTGCCAAACAGAGGCTAAACAAATCGCGTAAAGACTCTATAATATGTATAAGTATACGGGTTTGTTTAGATTTTTACTTATTCATCCAATTTTAAAATGTTACTCAACACTCATTCTTCTCTCAATTAGTTATCCATCCACAATCTTAAGTAAACAATTTCAATTTTTGAGGAAAAATCTCAAGTGACAAGTTGACGGCATGAAATCAGATTTTTAATAGATTTTAAAAGAAATTGTTCAAATGTGTAATTTGAAAAATTGTGGATCTCAAGAAATATATATAATTAAAATTAGTTGTTAACTTTGATTTTAACTAATCAACATTGAATGTGCGTCGCACGTATAATGAAATGTTTTATAAGTGTTGTAAAAGTAATATTTGAATATGTGTGAATCTTAATTAATTTAGAAATAATTCCAGGAATTATATACATGACGATAACTTATAATTAGAATTAATAATATTGAAATGCATAAATGAAGATGAATATTAATTAAATGAAAGTGAATTTTAATTAATTGAGAATTAATAATAGAAAATTCATACATTAATGAAAGTATACATGTGAAACGAATATGTCAAATGTACATGTACATTAATAGTAACTAATATTGAAAAACGAAAAGTAAGATATTATTGAAATAATTGAAGTATGACTAAAATCGTCTAACAAATAATTTTCACTTGATGAGACATTTAGCCCCCGTTTGATCTACATTATTATCTCATTAAAATGAAAAATATGGCAGGTTATCCATCACATCAATATTTATATTCAAATTTTCTATCTTTTGTGTGAACCTCAATAACGACTATATTTTTCATTTTCATTCTATAATAATTTAGATCAAACATGGCCTTAATATATTATAAATTAAAATTTTAGTTTTAGCCTCTGTTTGGGAGACATTATCTACCAAAAAAACGAAAAATTCACCCGTTGGAACGACATAGCCGCAATTGTGGAGATAGTGGATCCCAAACAGAGGCTTAACTTCGATGACATAGGGCTTAGCTTCTAAATATATCTTTATGTACATGTTTGAGTACTATTTTTTTAATCGAAAATGTATTTTGAAATAGTATTTTATCGAATAATGTGTGAATAAAAAGTAATAATATTTGTTTAATTTACGTATAATATTATTTCACAAAGGATGCTCAGTAGAAAATGAAAGAAATAAAAATATATTTTGAAAATAATTCTTACCCTACCATGGCTATATATCCACCCACGTATACATACATATACACACACACATTTTATATATAATTTCTTCCTTTGGTGATGCAAGAAACTCGCGAATTCAATTCCATTTCCATTTACATTTTCGTTCATTTTCTCTTAAAAGTCAACAATAACAGCTAATTTTTCAATTTTAATCCGATTTTAATCTCTACCAAACACACTCTAAATACATCTTTATGTACATGTTTGAGTACTATTTTTTTAATCGAAAATGTATTTTGAAATAGTATTTTATCGAAGAATGTGTGAATAAAAAGTAATAATATTTGTTTAATTTACGTATAATATTATTTCACAAAGGATGCCTAGTAGAAAATAAAAGAAATAAAAATATATTTTGAAAATCGTTCTTACCCTACCATGGCTATATATTAGAAACTCGCGAATTCAATTCCATTCCCATTTACATTTCCGTTCGTTTTCTCTTAAGGTACATCTTCTAAAATTTTCTTGTTTATTTTCTTCTTTTTCTCCTTTATTGTATTATTTGTAACTAGGTTTCTTTTTAGATCATATCATTAAGAAATTCTCTGATCCCGCTGCATATTCCAGCGTGATCAGTGGATTTCATTTCATTACTTTCATTTTTTATTCAAATTAGAGTTTATTGAAGGGATAACCGAAATTTTTTTTATGATTTTCAGGATCGATAATTTATGACTTTTTCAGTTTGATGGAATGGGGTTTCTCTAAGTATCGAGGGAAAAAAAATTAGGTGGCTTTTTTATGCTGACTGTACAAAACAAAATTTCAAAATAATTTGAGGGATTTATTTTTGTGATTCTGTGTAGAAGTTGTTTGTGGTGGTGTTTGAAGGTGTCAATGGGTGATCATTTGGTAGTGCACGTGGACCAGCTAGGGAAGCCGGAGGAGGCTGCAATAAGGCCTGGCCAGTCGGTTCACGAGGCCGCTGGACGTGGGCCCTTAGGAAAGCAGCCTGAAATGGTGGGGTCCTCGTCTTCAATTGTCGTGGAGGAGGAGAATGAGGAGGCTCCGCTGATAGGGTTGGCAGAGTGCCGCATTTGCCAGGAAGATGATTACTTGAACAATTTGGAGAGCCCTTGTGCCTGCTGTGGGAGTCTTAAGGTAAATGCTTTTACTTTTTATCAGGTTTTTACTCTGCATCTTTTGTTAGTGAAACATGAATTTCAACTTTTATTTCTTACCTTCTTGTATTATTGTCCTTGAGAATAAAAGTAGATTTACTTCAAGTTTACTTATTTCGCCCTATTCACCATTGAATTTATATTAAAGTTGGCATTGTAGTACAGTAGAGTTATGTAGGGTTTTGTGGACTTTCGGGCTTTGTAATTAGAACTTTAAAAGATATCCGTTAAAATTGAAGATATCATTTCTGATTCCAACTTTAATGGCCTAGATTCATGCAACCAAAATTGGGCCCACATGGTTGGTGGAATTGCAGCAACTTGTTAAGAGGAATCTGTTTGGAATAGAACATTTTTATATTTTGACTTTTCCTCATCGTAAAGGATTCCTCTTTTATTTTCTCATCTTCATTCTGATCATGGTTTATGCTTATTACTTTGTCCTTCAGGTCTTTATTGGCTTCCCCTGGGGGAGGTTTGGGGAGTGTGGTGGAGATACTGGGGGCTTTTATGTTTGTCTATACATACAGATCAATATCTAATATATGCATTTACAGACTGAAACTAAACTTTGTGTATGTTAAGGGCGCTACAAGATGCTTGAATTATTTGAGCCCAGGTGAATGATGCAAATTCTTACATATTTTCGTAATTATAGGGGAATTAATATTCTATGATCTATCAAATTCTTAATTTCCTCCTGTCCTAATCATAAATTTTTTCCCCTGACATCCCTTTCCCCAAGTACCTCCATTTCTTAATTGTCTAGTTAATGATTGTTGTGAGTACTATTCTTTTGTAGTATGCACACAGAAAATGTGTTCAACGCTGGTGCAATGAGAAGGGGGACATTACTTGTGAGATCTGCCATCAGGTTTATTTTTGCTTCTTATGTTTTCATTCCTTGCCATGTTGTATCATTAATTCGGGAATATCAAAGATTTTATAATTACTTGCATGCTTTTGCTAACTTTAGCCCTTTAGAACATTAAAGGTTTCAAAAACAAACAAGATCACTCCGTCGATGTTTGTACAGAAGCATTAATCATTGGGAAGTAGATGTTTATATAATCAGAATCGTGACTATTGTGCACCAGTCAGTGGGGAAGAAAACTTGGATGAGTGAAAATGGTGGTCTTTCTAAACTGTGGATCCTCATGAAATGTATCTCTATTACAAAGTGCATGTTCCGTACAAGATGCTAAGTCTGATCTTATGGAATATCATTGCTGTTGGATTTATTATTTGAATATTTGGGAAGTGCTTATAAATGATTAAATTATAAACAGAGAAATGAACAATAATAAGTGGGTTTTACTTTTGGGGTCCCTCAAAATGTGTAAATAAAAAGTATCTTGGGTATTTATAAACAATTTATAAACATGAGCCAAACAGGTGGTTATAAAACTGTTTAAATAAATCCTACTCAATACTCTTCTTAATCATGATATCTCATTCTTTTGATAAAACAATATCCCCCTTTTTTTTTTTTTAAAATCTCATTCAAAGAAATCAAAATAAAAATGTCATCTGAGATATATGAACTTGGGCCTAACTCCATTCTTGTAAGGACACCACGGCACTCCCTTAACAAGAATTCTTAAAAAAGAGATCCATTTCCCTCTTCTATGCGTCTCCTAGCCTCTTCATTGGGCTTTTACGCTTTGAGAGGTCACTCAAGACTTATTTTAAGAACAGTTTAAACTTTAACTTGGAGTTAAGACATGCTCTTATCATATACTCAGCATGAAACATAAAACTTTACAAAAAATTACAAAAATCATAAAATATATAAACAGAAATTGTTCTTAAAAGATCTGGAACTAATATTAATTATTAGCACCACATCTTAGA